GGACCGGTGCTACGCGGTCATGCACACAATACTTTGTGAATACGTATCGAACAGCGTAATCACTCAGCCATGATGGCTCAGCTGTCGAGTCGTATGAGCACGAGCCCTTTTAGGATGTTTCTAGTCCTACGAAACCGCCCTGTGAACCCAATATGAGCTCAAAACGGCGGGTATTAGTACGGCTAGTTCTCTTGTTCGCATTAGCGTGTATGGAATGCGATAGGTTAAACTAGAATTTATTACAACCAACGAATTATTTTTACAAGCTTATTAATCATTGATTTATTTGTTTTAGGAAGTTTCATCCGACGAAATAGTTGAAATATCTCGTATATTATCTTCAATTAGAATTTTAAATGATGATGATTCTGAACTTTTAAATTACATATTCTTCAATAGAAATTATTTCTGAAGTTTTTTTTTTACTTAATTTAGACTGCTGCTGAATTATCTTCACTTCATTCGTATCGTACAGATTTATCACGTGCTTGTTCATTACTTACAAAACATCCAATATTAATTGAAAAATTACTTGCATTACATCCACAATTTGATTTACGTCGTTATTTTCTTTTAGAACAATCTTGTCGTGCTTATTTTACATATTTACAATTAAGTAATACAAATACTTATGGAAATTTAAATGAAAAAAAATCAAATAATAATGATGATGCATCAAATGTTCTTGTTACATTACGTTTATTACGTGTACTTGTACGTCATCCTCAACAATTACGTACGATATTTGAAACAAATCTTGTTAATGTTCCAACTGTTGCATGGAAACGTCTTATACCACAATTATTTTCTCGTCTAAATCATCCTGATAGTTTTGTTCGAGATTATGTTACAAATTTATTAATACGTATAGCAAAAGATTATCCACAATTAATACTTTATTCAGTTATTGTTGGAATAACTGATGATTCAAAAATGAGACGAATTAAATCACGAGATGAAAACATTTATCAAAGAAAATCTTCAAGTACACATGAATCAGATGATGAAAGATCACAAAATGATATTGAAAATGATGATGATAATGATGATGATGATGATGAAGAAGAAGAAGACAATAATGAAGATGTTGAAGAAGATGATGATATTGAAAAACAAGAAAACGTTGTAGCTATGCAAAATAGTTTCAGATTAATCTATAATGTACTTTCGGAAACAAACGCACATGTTGTTGGACAAGTTAAATTATTTGTACATGAATTACGACGTGTTACTGTTCTATGGGATGAACTTTGGTTAGGAACAATGGCACAACTTCAAGAAGAAATTAGTCGGTTAGTATGAAAAAAATTATACAATGGAGGAAAATTAGAGTATAAACAGAAAAAAAGTTATAGGGTACTGAAGATCCTCTGGTAATGCTTCTGGAACAGACTCAAGAACTCAACTGGTGATTAGGAAGAAGAATGACAAGAAAACTTCTCGGCGTGATAAGTGACATTTCCACCGAGGCGATGTTCATCTGATGAGTAATAGAAAAGTTTCGAGTGGTTTGGTTTTTTGGGTCTTTGGTCTCAAAATATCGAAATTTTACTGAGTTTTTCAACAAAAAGGTACAGCCACATGGAAAATCAATTTTTGAGTTTTGCACGAAAGAAATTCTTAATGAGATTAGTTGATTGTGCAACTAGTATTTCCTTTCTAGAGATGTGAATATATGAACAAAATTTGCTTTTACAGACGAGAGAGTTTCGTATGACAGGAGATACTAGAGAACTCGCAACTTGCTTAGTAAACTAATTCCATTGAGAATTTTGTTCATACAAAGTTTGAGATGGAAATTCTTATGTGGCCTGGGAGGGAGGGGGTAGGTATTATAGCTTTTTGTTAAAAGACTCAGTCAAATTTAGGTATTTCAAGAGCGAGCTATTCTAGACTTTTCTATTACTTATCAAATGAACATTGTCTGGGTAAGAGAACCGATTTGACATCTAGAGAAGTTTCCTCGTGAGCCCCTATGTGGTTATGCCATTAAGAAAAAGTACTCTACAGACAATAATGTCTATGAATTAAGAGAATAATTTTAATTATTTGAAAAATTAGAATGTATTCTTGTGATATAAAAGTTGTTGATGGATAGATTTATAAACGATCATCTTATTTTATATATTGATTTGTTTCGCAGCATAGAAATCAAATAATTCTAAAACATTGAACTTTTTTCTTACTTTTTTCTGGTCATTTGAATCAATCTGATTCCAGATATAAAAAACTTGTGTTCATATGGCGCTTGATTCAATATGTTGTACCTTTAAATAATATTTTCATTTTAATTCATAAGTTCTCTATCAATAATCTGTAAGTAGGGAGCTGCGGATCCATATTTTGTGTAAGCATGAGCCTGGCTGAGTCCAAACTAAAGTTTTTCTTTGACAAGATTCAACACAAAAAATTGTCAAATCAGTAGTAACACTTAAATCCTCCGTCGTATAATACAATTTTTGTTGTATTTATGTACTATACAGTAGAAAATAGCTTATAATATATTCATTCTATTTTTTTTTAGACGCGTCGATGTTCTTAAAGATGAACTTCATCGTCTTGAATCCATGACACATTTAACAAAGGAAGAAAAAGAATTTCTAATTAAAGAAAAACAAGATGTTTTATTTAAATCTGTAAGTTTTTATATAAATCTTAAATAATATTTTTGTTTTTTTTTTCAACTTTTCTTTATTCTATTCAGTTTATTACCGTTCTTGAAGCAGTTAGTCAAATAACTCGTTCACCTGCTGAAACACCACGTGAACAAACATTTCAAAAAGATTATAGTAAACAAATCGATGCAGCTATTGAACAATTAAAACAACCTATTACATTATCGAATCCACATTCATGCTGGTTACAACTTCGACAGGTAGAAAATAAAACAATAAATCTTAAATTAATTTTTTCATTTATTTCTTGTTTTTGAAATTTAAATCATATTAGCTTTATTCAATGTTACATCGTACTGGTAAACGATCAGGCACAATTCATGCTATGAGTCAAATAAGTCCAAAATTAGCACAAATAAAACACAGTGCTATACCAATTCCTGGTGAAGATGGACAGGTTTGAAGAAATGTTTTTCTTTTTTTTTGTTTTGTATATAGACAAATCGATTTTCATTTTATAAATAGTTTCATACAATTCATAGTGTTGGTCAAACTGTTCAAGTATTACCAACAAAAACGCGTCCGAAAAAATTAATGTTTGTTGGATCAAATGGTCATCGATATCAATATTTATTAAAAGGTCTTGAAGACCTCCATTTAGATGAACGTATTATGCAATTATTATCAATAATAAATGTTATGTTTAATAAAATAAATCGTAATGAACCATGGTCATATGAAGCTAGAAATTATACTGTTATACCACTTGCATCAAGAAGTGGTTTAATACAATGGGTTGAAGGTGCAACGCCGTTATTTTCACTTTATAAACGATGGCAACAACGACAAGCAACAGCACAAACTTGGAAAGCTCAAGTTTGTTTTGAATTTATATTTGAAATTAAAAGTTTTTGTTTTTGAATATTTTTTTTTTTTTTTAATTAAGAATGAAAACCAAGAAATTACTTTAGCTACAGTACAAAAACCAAATGACGTTTATTATTCAAAATTAAATGCTATATTAAAAGAAAAAGTAAAAGAGAATCATAGTTTTTTATTTCTTTTGGTTATTTATCTAATTTTATATGAAGGGTAAACAACCAGTAGAAGATCGACGTGAAATACCAATGCCAATATTACGCCAATGTATTGAAGAATTAATACGTGAAACACCAGCAGATCTTTTATCACGGTTAGTTTTTCCTCTTTTTTTTTTATTAGCATCTTATTTTTCATTTTTTATATTTAGTGAACTTTGGTGTAGTTGTCCAAGTGTTGGTTTATGGTATAAAAATGTTCAAAATTATAGGTACACATTTGTTTTTTTGTAAAACTATATATTCCGATATACAGATAGTAGACCCTTTTCTTTTAATATGAAATGATCTTCAAATGATTTCCTAACATAAACGAAACTGAGAATACTAAAGGGATGACATTTTGTGAGAATATTTTGACAAAAATGGCTTCAAATTCAGTTTCTGCAAGATAAAAAATTGGATTAGTAAAAATAGTCCTTTGTCAGAAAATGTCAATTGAATTTGAAAAATAATGACAAAGAAAACAGATTGACATTCGACAAAGTCTCGAAAACACATGCATCTATGTTCTTCATTGTCTTTAAATCAACAAAAATTACTACTGCTTATACTTTTATATTGTCTAAATAACAAAAAAAAACTTAAGCGCAATCCTTACAAGATTAAGATGTGAAACACAATGTAGATGTTATTGTTAATAACAGAGAAATTTCTTTATTTAATCTATCTTGGAACCAATTTCTTTACCATCCTTGTACCTAATCTTCCAGTAACTAATATCAAAGATTCCGGCGTTCACGTCCATCAGTTTTCCACAGGCTCCTCCTGTTTTCCTGGATACTCTAGTCGGAAATCACTCGTATTTCTTAATCTGAGATAGAAATATGTAGTTTCGATGAAATTACTGAAATACTAACAGTGTATCTACTGACACGCTGACTATACTGGATTCGTGTTCACTGAAGCATTGACACCCATACATTCTGAATATGTCTAGGGATATGCTCTATCAGTTTGCTGATCACCGACAGTAAATTCAGTGTAGCAGTGACTATAGTGGCATTGGTATACACGACATATCTATAGCAGCAAACGTCAGTATTTTCATATCATCAGTGTTCAGTGTCTAGCGAGGCCAGTGTAGTCACTGATACAGTGAACACCAGTGTGAGCTTTTGATGAACACTCTACTGAAATCACATATCCCAAACCTGGAAACATAATGAGTTAGTAGTTCATATACTATACCTAGAGGTCATTTATATACAGTCGGTAATCGTATATCAACGGCGCTTGTTACAATTAGTGCCCGGCGTGACCAATTTTTTGGCCATGGTCACAATGGTTTCGCCAAGCACTAGTCACAATCTTTGGAGGACAGTCCAAATGTCTATCCCTATAGTCCAACACTCCTTTTACATCATGTTTCACAAAAATTTAGTATACAGAAAATCCTTTTTGAGCACGATATTTTCTTTTTCGTATGACAATATTTCCGCAGTTGATCTTATATAGTTAAAATTTTTGAATACAATAGTTTCTACTCAAAATAAATATTGATCATAGTATATTTTTAATGACATTTTGCTTTAAACTTTAGTCGTTCATTAGCTGTAACATCAATGATTGGATATATGATTGGTTTAGGTGATCGTCATCTTGATAATGTTCTTGTTGATTTAAAGACAATGAAGAACATAGATGCATGTGTTTTCGAGACTTTGTCGAATGTCAATCTGTTTTCTTTGTCATTATTTTTCAAATTCAATTGACATTTTCTGACAAAGGACTATTTTTACTAATCCAATTTTTTATCTTGCAGAAACTGAATTTGAAGCCATTTTTGTCAAAATATTCTCACAAAATGTCATCCCNTTTTCGTTTATGTTTAAAGAAAAACTATTTCATATATATAGATATCTGAATTACAAATATTTATTAACCAATCATCTACCGATATTACAACTTATAAAAATTTACTTGATACACAACTTCAGAGTAAATAATAATGTATCAATTTAATATAATTAATTATTTTCTTTTTTTTTAATATTAGATTTAGATAATAATGAATATACAAATTATCGTAATACACTTTTACTTATGTTATTTGATCGATGGCAACATTGTCGTCAAATGAGTGATACAGCACGAAACATTTTTAATCTTTCATCATTAACAGATACCAATAATGAGACATTTATTAATGAAACTTATACACTTATCAGTAATACTGCTTATCTTGCTTTAATTGTTCAACAAAATAGTATAACAATGGTAAACCAAATTTGAAATCAATTTCAAGATAGAAAAAAAAATTCTATTTGTTTTAGTCGTCGAATTCTTCACTTATTGATTCAACAGTCAAATTAATTAGCAGTTTAGAAAATATCTTTCGTTTATTAAAGGTTTGTAGTCTTATATTTATCGTAAAATTAGATGTTTGCCTATAAAGAATGAAATAGAAAGTTTACCGTACGAGTAAAAATTTTCATGGGCAAAAAATTGAACGTAAGATAAGAATAAAGACAATGAGAAAGATCAAATGGACTCTATATATTCTAGTCGCACTGAATCTCCTATTGAATATTCATTTGCTTGAATGATCCTACCAGGAAAGTCCTCCAACTATTTAAACCACTTCTGAGTCGAACCTATATGTAAAACTTCAAGATGGTTCGTGCCCTTAACTTGTTTCTGCGGAGATATTTCACTTTTACTCTATTTTTTTAAATGAATGTTGTGTTTAAAAATAAAATGATTTTTGAATTTCAATTTGGAAATTTCCAGAGAGACAGGTCTCAACGAGATTGTGAAAGTTTCAGGCCTTGTTCTGGTTCCTATTCCACCATACGACGATGATAAAAGCGTGTCTTTTACGTCGCTCATATAAACCGATAGATTTGATCCTTATATTTCACGAGAGACACGACTCAAACGAACTGAAACTTTAACAAAAAAAACTATCTTTGTTAGCGTCTCTCTCGATGTAAAATTTCAGGTCGAAAAAAAGCTAGTGGTATTTTGAGACGCATTTTGAAAAACGTAGTTTTCCAAAACGAGACTTAGCCTATGATGTGTGTGTTCTCACGCCACCAGATGTAGAATTTAATTCTGAACAAAATAATATGATTGCTAAATTGAAGAATAGAAACATTAGAAAAAGAACAATGATGTAATCCTGCTAGAAAATGTTTTTTTTTTCACATTTTTTACTTCAAAAACTTTTTCTCACAGAGATTTCTTCTATAATCTAAAGTATATATCAAAAGCTACAGAATTTCTTGAAGAATTTTATATCATACTTGAAGTTTTTAGCAAAATCTTTATGAAAAATTCTTTGTTTATGATGAACTACCCGTAACATGTTTCTATTAGAACTAGAATCGGTTCACGACGTTTCTTTTTGAAATCGATTTAATCGAATTTTTGAAAAATTATTTCAATCCAAACTAAACCAATCCTATATCTGGTTTCAAAAATCTGTTTTCTTATAATAAAATGAATTCTATCATGTTCATTAAATTTCTCTTAAAAAACATTTCATTTAATTGAATAGAATTTATTAAACAATTTTGAATCGACTACAATTCCATGTTTAATTCGTGGTGCTTGTTCTAAACAGAATAGTCTTCTATTATGTATGGATTTATTAAATAATGCTTTCAAACAAATCCAACCAATGACAACTTCAAATGTAAGTTATTTCATAGGTTTATTACACATAACAAAAAAAATCATCATCTGTTTTGTTTTATTCAATAGTCAACAACAGCAGTTGATGACACATGTCAAACAGTTTATCAGCAGCTTCGTTCATCCTGGGCAACAAGTATGATATATGATGTCATTCTATTATACTTATATTATATATATATTTTTAGCATCAAATGAAATATTTGATACATTTTTAAATTTATCAAATTCTTTGGATGATCTTGATAAAGAGTTAAATAATATTTATACAAGTTTTCAAACATTGAGCATACCATCTGTTTGGTTACAATCATCATTATTTGATTGGAAACAGGTTTTTTTTTCTAAAATTTTTTGAAGAATAAAAAAAGGAAACAAAATTTAATGCAATTATTTATTGTAGACGAATATTGATAATGATGTACATCGGCAATTTCTAACAAATTTTTTTGCTATGAGTAAAATTGCAACAATGCAACAAGTGTGTCAATTGATTGTTGATCATTCACAAACATTTGATAGTAAAATAAAAGTTTCAAATGAAATTCTTCAAATATATGATTTTGTTTATTAAATAGATCTTAAATTACAAATTACAAAAGATAATGATCTTAGTGATATAATTAGACAATTTATTATTCTCTACATTGTCCAATACGTAAGTAAATTGACAATATGATTGTATATAATTTTAAAAAAGAGAAGAGGTAAACGAATAAATTATCTTATATTTTTTAGCTTGTTGATTTACCTTCTCTTGCAACAAGTTATTTAATGTTATCATTAATTCCATCATCTCAATCTATTCTTGAAAATAATCTTATTCAGACTGAGAATCAATTTCAAGATTATATCAATAATCTTTGCATAATAACAGCAACAAATCAAATAGCTGACCTTCAAAAAATATTTCTACAAATAAATGGTATTTGGCAAAATGACAATACTGCTGAGTAAGAAAAATTATTTATTGTTAATAAAATTTTATATAGTTTAATATCTTTCTAGGCATATAAAAACTTCATTAGATATATTACAAATGCGTAAACATACAAATGAAATGCAACTAATAGCATATCGTTGGAAAAATTTTTATTTACTTAATTCGAATAATAAAAATCAACAACGACAAACCATATGTGAAGAGTTAACCACGGTATTTTGTTTTTTATTTCTCATTAACAGATAATAAATCAATTGTTCTGTGTGTTTTTTTTTACTATTATAAAGGATCAAAGTATATTAACTATTAATGATAGTATATCTACAATGATTATTGATAAAATGACTAGTCTTGAACAAACGGTTATTCAACGATTACGATGGGCTGCTGGTGCAAATCCATTAGTTCAAGATGTACTTGATAAATTTGAAATGCGACAAAAAGAACGTGCTAATGAAATAGATGTATACAAAAAAACGAAAAACCAAATCTTTTCACTTTTTTCTTTCATTGAAATTTTTATTATTTAGAATGATAAACAACTTTGTTTACATCTTGTTAAAATTCTTCAATCATGGCTCCTTTTTGAACAATATGAAGAACAAATAAAATTGCAACGAGATTTAATTATTCATGCAAGAACATTTGCAGAAAAGTAAATATTAACAAAATAGAAATTCTTATTGACTTTATATTTTTATTTTTCAGAGGTTTAGAAATTTGTCAATTAAAACATGATATTGAATCAAATTTTACTATTGTTGAACAAGCAATTTTAGAATTTCCAGTAAATTTAGCTATTTTAACTTTTTCTTTTTTTCAAAGTTTAAAAATTTTTTTTTCTTTAGCCGGTTGAAAATTTAAAACAAATAACATTACAAAATCTTCCATCATTAATTGAACAAGCAGAAAATGAATGTATGAAACATAAGCGAAATCGAATTAAAGAAGAAAGAGAACTTGAAAATCGTCGTGTATGTATTTTATTCGTATGAATAGACATCAATCTTAAGATAACTCTGTTCTAGAAATAGAAAGATTTTGTTTCCTAACACAAAACTAGAACACATTTCTTCAGTGTTCTTTTACTTAATCCTCCAGAAATACAATAAGAAAGTAGTTTATAGGTTTTAATAAGACGTTATTGATATACAATCTGTGATCGTACTCTCAACAACGTCTGCCACGTTCTGTGATGAATAAAAATATGCGCCACCAATTATTCTTGCTTCCGGTCCCGATACGTTTTTCCTATCGGCTTCAGTTATAGCCCCAATAAATGTGCTCTACTCTGAGTTTCGATCCAGATGATTTTAGTTTCTAGAGTCATGGCTGAGAGAAAACTATTCTAAAGTTTATTTGTATTACATCTAAAACGATTCGTCAATACTCTTACGATGTCAACCAGCACCTTTTTCAGATCATCTTTCTTGAATTATATTCTGATTGATATGATCTATAAAATAATTCCCTTAAAACCATAGAATAGTTAATTATGTTTTTTAGTTTCGGTTGAGACAACTTTTTTCTTGTAGTCTCGGTCTCAGCATATTTCTCTTCTGTGTGGTCCTGCTCCCGGTAAGCTTCTGAATTGTGATTCCACACCCTCTCTGGTGGTGAGTCGTTTCTAATTTGTCTTTGATAACTCGTTGCTAGTATGTTTATCACGTCTGTGTGGAAAGGTCCAAATTTCTATATCTATGTTTCAATAATCCTTTTAGAAGAGCTCAGATCGTAAGTTTATGCCTGCTGATATACTGAACTTTTACGGTAGTTTTTAAATGAATGCTGTTGTAAGAGAAAACCTGGTTTTCAAAGTTCGACTTGAAACTTTGTATAGGGATAGAGCTTAATGAGAGTAGTTTCAGGTCTTTTGATTTGCTTTGATGTTGTAATAATAGCATCAAATATGCCGATCTATATGACTGATGTGAAAGATACACTTGTACCATAATTGTGTCTTAAGATAGAAATAGCTACAAGATCTGAAATATTCACGATCTCGTTAAGACTTGTCTCTATGCAAAGCTTCAAGTCGAAAATCAGTTTTTCTACTGTTCTTGAGGCGAACCACAGTATTGACTTTAGAAAAAGTCGTAAAAGTGCAATATCTCCACAGCAATAAGCAAAGAACACAAACTATTTTCAGAGTACTCATAGTTCATTTGGATCTACATAACGCACATAGTCTCAACTCAAAAGTGGCTAATCGGTTAGAGAATTTTCCTCGTCAGATTCAAAATCTATCTTGATCTTAAATAATTATGTCTGATTTTCTTTGAAACAGGATGAAACAAGTCATTTAATAAGTGAATTAAAAGAACATATGTCTCAACATAATACTATCTTCAAAGATATATCATCTGTATTAAAAAGTTTATTAAAAGTAAATTTGATTATTATTAATTAAACTTCAAATAAAATATCTATTTTTGCTTTTAAGATTATTCCACATCGTGCATTACAAAATTATTCAAATATTCATCGTGAATTTCTTGAATTATGCCATAATATTGTTAAACATACACTTCATATTGATACAACTAGTTCTATGAAATATGATGTACTTATAACAAAAATGAAACGAATTATAACAATTAAAACTAAGTAAAAAATAATGAACCCTAGAAAATATTCTTTTCATTGAAATTAATAAAAAAATATTTCTGAATTTCTTAAGAGTTTTCGATGATTTAATTCAATTAAATCCAACTATTGATAATGGTAAGCATAGTTCCTTTTAAAAATCAGATTGAAGATTATTTCATATTTAATAGAAAATCGAGAAAGAACAAGTTCATCAACAGTAAATATTAGTACACAACATGAAACTACAGACAAAACAACAAAAGGTAAATGTATCTTGTTTCTTTTTTCAATAAAATAATATTCTTCTATTTAGTTACTGAAGAACGAAATAAATATGCTGTTGAAATCTGTAAACGAATTCGTGATAAACTTGATGGTTCAGATCCTGATCCATTAACTCAAAGTTCTATTAGTGAACAAGTATAAAAAATAAACCGAAAATTTTTCAATCAAAAATATTTTATAAATTTATCTTATAGGTTCGTTATACTATTCGTGAAGCAACAGATATCGAAAATTTAGCAACACTTTATGAAGGATGGACATCATGGGTATGAGAAGATGCATAACAATAATTGTGGTTTCGTTAAAAGAACAAAAAAACAGTTATATGAATCAAGAAAGAAGTATTCTATGGATAAAAGCATTTGTTGAGAACTAATTATTTTAAACAGAAACAAGTTTATATGACATAACGTAATGATTTGTTTTTCTCCTTGGTTCTTATCATCAATCAGTTTTATTTTCTTTTTCTGTGATCGAAATGTCAAAGTTCGAATGGATATTTTTCTTTTTTTTTTGAATTCATCGAATATTTGTCACTGTTATACAAAAAAAACAAATAAACTAGAACTATTCCTTTAAAATGATTTCTCTTACAACGAAATCATCAAAACTTTGCTCAAAGTCAATGGATGGCATAATCATATCAATTAAGAAATGTAATTCAATGATGCTTGTTTCAAATGAAGGTTTTGAAGTACATAATCACTAGGTATGACGGCTGTATATCTCATTGTCAAAAACGAGATCGCTGAATTTCTTTCAATGATCTGTACCAGCCATATTCATTTTAACGTTCATCCCTTTCGTTTGCTTTTTGAATATATATTCATTGCTTACAGAAAGATTGGCTATTCAACTGTGATGTTTGCACTATAAACTACGATCTGGTTTATTCTTAGCCAGTAACAGAGATGAGATCGGTTTGTATATTTTTGTAACCGAATCGACTTACTATTCCTTTCAAAATACAATGTGCTTCACTGTTTTTTTGAATAACTTTTGATAGAAACATCGTAGAGGCCTGCAATTTTCACCATTCAAGAGAAAAGACTCAAGACCATGGAAGTATATCGAAATTTAATCGACCAGAAATTGATTGATCAAGAGAGATCTTGATGTTGATTCTCGAAAACGACATTTCAAAGCTATTTCTCTTTCAGTTTAAACTTTTAATGTAATTAATCTATGGAAAATTTCAGCCTATTGATCTGTGTTTACCCGAAACAGCAGCTAGACGAGGAACTACTGGGATTTATTTACTTATTAAGGATTTATTAGTTATGATGGTATTTCAGTACATCCATATCCTTACTCTCACACACGCCCACACCTTGTATGCATTGTGGAACAGTGTGGGATTTATCGGAAAATGCTTACGGGCTTGTTAAAAGGTCTCAAGAAATCCCGGAAAAATAAGTTTCTGTAGCTGCTGAATAAGACTGAAAGAAATGATCAAGATAAGATAAAACAGATAGATTTATTGAATGTGACTACTTGTAATAAAATAAAGATTATAACGGCAAAAACCCATGATTCATAAGAAGAGATATGGAATGATAAATGTTGCTTCTATTTCTTTTCCCTCATCCAATATCATCACAGACACTTTTGTTTGTTATAATCAATGAAAAATATCATATTAATCCACAAAATTCTCGCTCTCCTTCATAGATCATTTCAACTTTTATTGTCTTGAAAAAAAATCATTAACGCTAATTTGTCCCTATAAAGGCCGATTAAATGGTCAACATTATAAGCCATTGGTCGACTTGGTTCTAAACATTTTTTTTTACTTGTTTATAAAGAATAGAAAACTGTACATCATATGTGAAAATTAGCATGCTTTCTTTTTCAGTTATCGAATGACAGCTGATCAACTGTAAAAAATGACCCGTTTTTTTAGTCGAAAAATGACTAGTCATGGACAATATTTGACCAATAAATCGTGATCAGTCCATGAAAACCGCTATCGTATGTTTAAAGTCAAGTTTATACAAATGATTTTTGATGATATATTTCAAAAAATCTTGTCGGCGTTCGACAGTCTAATCAGGTTAACTTTTCATCAGCCCGATCAAGCAAAGCACAAATGTGGATGTAGATGTTTTAGACTATACTGATTAAGATAAGAACATCAAATAAAAAACAAATGAAATTTTGACGAGTACCATCGATTTCTGATGGTTCCGTGTGTACTCCTTCGAGCTGCTATTCAGACGATTGTCTAAAACAGAAGAAATCTCGGTTGTTTTTGTCCAAAAGACTACACTCATAAAAACGGATATAACTTCGATATTATATGAACCAATTAGCGTTGAATATATATTAGAAAACAAACGAATTCGATGGGATTGAAAAATTGTCGACATGCTACTTAGATGAAAAACAAGATTTTGAAATCAATGGCGAATTGGATTTCTTTACTTAGAGTTCCGTACAGGCTTGATCAATAGAAAATGGCATATATAGTCACAATTTTGAACAGTATTTACGATTTAATTAAGAAAACAAGTTACAGTTATGACACTGCACATTTACTTGGACAGTATCCAGAACAAAATATTGAAATTTGACTTCAAGTTTCTTGTTAATAATAAATTAGAAAAGAATAAATTAACAAAAATTAGAAACATTTCTTTTTATCCAATATACATCGTCAGACCATGTTATATGTTGAGTTTCATTTAACAATTGACATGAACGTGTCTTAGGATCATAATTACGTTTCACAAAAAAATCGATTATAACTTTCACACGATCAGGGTAACGACGTACCTTAATCCATTCCATAAGTACACATGGAATTTCTAATGTATCAAATACTCGACTTCCACTTTCAATAACAAAACTTTCACTTCCTTCAATATCAATTTTTATAATTGCTCCACGAACACCACGTGCAACTCATATTGGTAATAATTCATTAAATGTTATTGTTTTAACGATATATGGATTATTTATTATACTCTGATTAATAAACTCATTTTTAGAAACATCTAATTCTTGACCANTGATAAATTTGAAATTTGACAAAAAAAGAACGTGCTAATCAAATAGATGTATATGAAAACAAAAAGAAAACAAACATGTTTTTTCCTCATTCAAAGTTTCTTTATTTAGAATGATAGACAATTTTGTTCAAATCTTATTAAAATTCTTCAAGAATGACTACTTTTTGAACAATATGAAAAATTACAACAAGATTTAATTATTCATGCAAGAACATTTGCAGAAAAGTAAAAATTATCCAAAAGAAAAACATGAAATTCTTATTGATTTTAATTTTTGGTTTTTTTTTTCAAAGGCTTAGAAATTAGTCAATTAAAACATGATATTGAATCAAATTTTACTTTGGTTGAACAAGCAATTTTAGAATTTCCAGTAAGTTTTTCTATTTTGTCATTTATTTTTATTCTCAAGTTTTAAAATTTTTTTTTTTGTATTGTAGCCCGTTGAAAATTTAAAATAAATAACATTACAAAATCTTCCATCATTAATCGAACAAGCAGAAAATGAATGCATGAAACATAAACGAAATCGAATTAAAGAAGAAAGAGAACTTGAAAATCGTCATATATGTATTTTATTCATATGAATCAACATTCATTTTAAGATAAACTTATTCTAGAAATCAAAATACTTCTTAAAACAAATTAAGTGTGAAAATAATTCTTTTAGTATTAAAATGTGAAATATGATATCGCTAATCTCATAGAGATTACGTTATTCTATGAATTTTAGTACATATTGTTTCACTATTCTTGTATTTAGTCTTCTAGAAATGCAATAAGAAAGCAATTCATAAGTTATAACAAAATGCTATTGATATATAACCTATGATTGCATTATTAACAATATCTGTTACGATTTGTGATGAGTAGAAATATGCGAGACCAATTTTATTTTTTGATATCAATTCTAATAACTTTTTTCTTCCGATCTAAGTTGGTTTAGTCTTTTTAAATCCAGATCTCATCGACTGAGAATATTTCTAGCGTCTATCTCTATTGAATTATGTTGTAATCTATGGGGTCTATAAGATAATTCTCTTAAAACTATAGAATATTTAATTATGATCTTTAACTTCGATTGGAAAAATATTTTCTTCTAATGTCGATTATAGGAAAATCTCTTCTCCATGGTCCTAGTCCCCGGCATCTCTGATAGTGAGTCGTTCACAAATTATTTATGATAATTCTTTGCCAGTATATTTATCAGATGTGTATGGTGGTGTTCAAATATATCAATTTCTATAGTTTAGCACCGTTTTTTTTTTGCTGAAATATTACACCTCTACGGTATTTTTAAATGAATTCTGTGGTAATAGAAATATTCCTTTTCGAATTTCGAATTGAAACTTTGAATAAAATAAGAGTACGAACTCTTTAAGGATATTTATAATTTATCTAAATCACATTGTCTCACATGATAAGTAATTAATCGGTTGGAGAACTTTGTTCATTAAATTCAAGATTTGTCTTGGTCTTAGATAACTATGTTTTATTGTGATTATTCCACATCGTGAATTTCTTGAATTATATCATACTGTTGTTAAACATACACTTCATATTGATACAAATAGTTCTATGAAATATGATGTACTTTCAACAAAAATAAAAATAAAATATTTTGTGAATTATTTAAAAAGTTTTTGATGATTTAATTCAATTAAATTCGACTATTGATAACGGGAAGTCTAGATTTTTTTCGATATTAAAATTGAATATAATTTTATGTTTAATAGAAAATCGAGAAAGAACAAGTTCATCAACAGTAAATAATAGTACACAACATGAAACTACAGACAAATCTACAAAAGGTAAATATTTTTGGTTTATTTTCAATAAAATCATATTCTTCTACTTAGTTACTGAAGAACAAAATAAATATGCTGTTGAAATCTGTAAACGAATTCGTGATAAATTTGATGGGTCCGATCCTGATCCATTAACTCAAAGTTCTATTAGTGAACAAGTATTGGAAAAAAACAAAAGAACAAAATCTTTCAATCGAAAATAATTTTTAACTTTGTCTTATAGGTTCGCTATACCATTCGTGAAGCAACACTTTATGAAGGATGGACATCATGGGTATGAAAGAAGATAAATAATAAACAATAGTGGTTCCGTTCAATGAATCCAAAAATCGTTAAATAAATCAAGAAAGAAGTATTCTATGATTAAAAAAAATCATTTTCTTCAGAACTAAGTATTTTAAATAGAAAAGTGTATGCAACATCATGCAATGGTTTGTTTTTCTCCTTAGTTCTTATCATCAATCAGTTTTATTTTCGTTTTCTGTGATTGAAATGCCAAAATTCGAAAGGGTATTTTTCTTTTTTTTTTTAATTCATCGAATATTTGTCACTGTTATACAAAGAAAAAACAAATAAATTAGAGCTGTTCCTTTGAAACGATTTTTATTAAAATGAATTTATCAAAAAGTTGCTTTAAATCATTGATATGACATAACAATATTAATTAAAGTAATCATTCGATGACGCTTGTTTCAGATGAAACTTTTGAAATATATGAGCACTTAATATAATGGCTGTATTATCTATAACAAAAAAAAAAACTAACATCACAAAATCTCCTAGTTCATAAACGAAAGTAAACTATAAATTATACTTCGATTTCTCTGTGTCTATTACAAATCGCAAAAGATTTTTATTTTTATTATATTCATAGAAAAATATCATAAAAATACATAAAGTCGTCGGTCCCATTCATAGAATATATTCAGTTTTGTTTTCTTGAACAAAAAAAAACATTAAGACTAGTTTTTCTCTATGAATACTGATTAAGTCTTCAACATTATAAGCTAATAATCGGCTCGGTTTTAAATATTTTTCGCTTTTTTTTTGTACGAAAAGAAGAATTGTGTAACATAGGTGAAAATCAATAGATCCTCTTTTACAATGATGAAATGACAGCTGATAGAGTATAAAAAACTAAAATACTTTCCAGTTCGCGAATGATCAGCAATGAACGATATTTGACAAATAAACTTTGACTAGTCCATGAAAATATGTTACTGTAATAAATAGCTGATTGTAATTAATTTTTGGTGCTCTATGTTCTAGTGCATAATGTGGCAACTTTCACTAATTCGCTATCGAATGTTTACATTCAATTTCATATGAAAGATTTCTAATGATCTTCTGCAAGTAATCTCAACATTGCTCGGTATCATAATCATTCTAGTTTCTCAGTCATTATGAGGAGAGAGATTACATTTATTAATATTTTATTGGAAAAAAATGGTACAACCTCACATTTTTGTGAATAAGATATCATTGGATATATTTTTGAAAAGGAGTGAATTTGATATGATTCCAACATTATCGATATGTTAATTAAATTAAAACAAGGTTTTGGATTCTTTTATTTTTTTTAAAGCTTTATTCAAATATGTTAAATAGAAAAAAATACACTAGGCAATATTTTTAGTAACAGATAAAATATTTGTATCGATTGCAACAGCACATTAAAGGAGTAGCTTACCAACACCATCGGTAATGATGTTTCACTGAACTATTTCTTATACAACAAATGCTTAAATCAGAGAGAAGAAGAATGAGGATACATAGAAAAGGAAAATCAGGAGTCATTGATGATATCAATATCGACACCATACCATATATAGCAAAAAAGTTTCAGCAGTACTAGTCAAAAATTTTTTCAATTAATAAAACTTAAAGAGTTAATCAAGAAAAACAACTAACAAATAATGAAATTGTATGTTCACTTAGAAAATGTTAGTAACGAAAGATTTCAACATGGTTTTAAGTTAGTTATTTATTATAAATTAAGCAAAAAAAATGTTAACAAAAATTAGAAACATTTCTCTTTATCCAAAATATATCAACTGGCCATGTTGCATATTGAGTTATATTTAATGATTGGCATGAAAGTGTTTTAGGATCATAATTACGTTTTACAAAAAAATCTATTATAACTCTAACACGATCAGGGTATCCCTTTGTAATCGACCATTCCATTTTTACACATAGAATCTCCAATGTATCAAATACTCGACTTCCACTTTCAAAAACAAAACTTTCACTGCCCTCAATATCAACTTTCATAATGGCTCCACGAACACCACGTGCAACCAATATTGGTAATAAGTCATCTAATGTTATTGTTCGAACTATATATGGATTATTTATTTGATTTTTAGTAATGGACACATTTTGAGATACATCTACGTTTTGACCACCAATATTTCTTGATTCCTTTTTCAAATTCAAATACTGCCCAGAACGAGTAACAATCGCATTTTCAATAAGAACAACACGATTAGCGAGATTACTTAATTGAACAGCACGATAAAGGCGATTAATATTCGGAGCAAAACAATCAATAGCTAATACAAATCGTCCTAAAGCAGCAGCATACATGGTGTAGGTACCAATATTTGCTCCAATATCAATAAAATCAAGATGTGAATGACGAATGAGAAGCTTAAGTATTTGTGTTACTCCTTCTTCTTCCCAGATAGACACTGCATCGCGGAACACGTTGCTGACATATATATCATCTTTGCTTTCATGTAAACATATAGTAGTATGTATAAGATTGAAAATTTGTTTGGTATTTATGCATTTAAAACTATCATTAACGAATTTATGAAAATTAATAACTTGAACGTTAGATGATACTTGATATGGGATTTGTATTATATTATTTATCGATAGTGTGTGTAATGCATACTTCGGTTTAGATAAAAAGTCTTTATGAATAATGATAGAAGAGAAAAGGATTCCCAAGGGGGAAACAGCTGACTCCATGACTCCATGACTCCACTTGACTCCACCTGACTCCACTTGACTCCACTTGACTCCACCTGACTCCACCAGACTGGAGTCAACAGTCTCTCTCTTGGAATTACTTCCCAAAAAGAGAACATTTTTGTTCTGTTTTTGGGAAATAATTCCTATAACATA